TCAGCGTTCTCAACCTGTATGTATGTATATATGTATATACATAAGCATAGATGTGGGCCTGATCTCCTTTGGAGCCCTACACTTCATTTTTCCTCATTTCTGGTCCCATATTTCTTTTCGTCGTCGTTTTATATTTAAAAAATCTCCTGCGAAGAGAACAAATCTGTTTCCCCTCTTTATTATAAAAACATCCTTCTTCTCTGGCCATCGGTCGGCTCATTACCACCGCCCCCCCCCCCCCACCTCCTTCCCTCAGATTCCTCTTTTGAGTCGCTGAGAGGGGTCGGAGACTGACACCTGCTCAGCTCCCTTCAATGTTCCTGCATTTACTTAATCCTTACTTCGCATCATTCCTCCTACACCCCACACTCTTAGATAATTTCGTTTCCCTGAGCCATGTTTCCACGCAGATGTGCATGCACAACCGCATTGCAGGCACGTAACCAAACAAGCAAACAAGTAGCTTATTTGCCTCCCCCGTAAAGCATCCTGCATTCATAATTCCTGTGGTGGTGGTGGTGGTCTCCTTTCAAGTCGTTTTTTTTATTGGCTCACACCGCACACTCGACGTCTAGTCGTCACGCCAACAAAACAACACGCGCCCATCCATCTACAAAGCTAGGCGCGCAGAGTTCCAGCAGCTGACAACACAATCGGGGCAGCACACAAACACAAACACAAACACAAACACAAACACAAAAAGAGAAGCACAGGGCAGAAAGGAGCAGAATATGCGCCTGAACGGCGCCCTTCTCTCTCTATTCCTACAGAGTGGAAGGGCGCACAACCACGGAAAAAGCACTATTTGGCTCCATTTGCCCAACCTCTCCCGTACACGCGAAGGCTGATCCAACGCACTCAGACACGCCAACAAACAAACAAATTCGAAAGGCACGTTGCCAATGATTACCAGGATTGCTGTGGAGTTACTAAGTGGCAGCCTCTGGGGCTCCCCACAACCGCGGTCCCTTCCCCGCGTAAATGTTTTTCTTAGAAGGGGGTGGTTAGCGTGGGAAGGCAGAAAGAAACTGCACTCACGCCGCCTTACAACGCGTCCGTGTTGAAAACACAAAACAAGTAATGGATGGAAAAAGAAAAAAAAACACGACGGGGAATGTTCACCCACACGCTGTATCATCCACCGAGCCCCATCTGACCTCATATTTCTTTCCTCAAGCCTCTAATAATAGTAATAATAAGAAAGTAGCAATAAACGCGAAAAAAAAAACTTAGGGCGAATCGAGCATCGGCGGCAAACGTCGCTGAATCGAAGTCGTTTGCTCACCAGCGTTCTTCCCCCCCCCCTCCCTCCCCCTCGCCTCGCCAGGCCTCCCCGTATGTCGTCGTCGTCGCCTTCCTTCATCCCCCACCCATGTCAGGGGTAAAGCTGAGCGAGCTCCTCTGTGAGGGCGCGGTACTTTGTGCTCGACTCGTTCTCCTGCCGCCATTGCCTCAAGTCTTCCTCCGTGAAGAAGCCCGCCTGCACCATCGAGGCCACAAAGTCGGGGATGATGCCGCGCAAAAAGGACCCTAACCGCACGGAACTCAACGCCTCCATGCTGTCGGCTACTGCCACCTTCGTCGACGTTGGCCGTGCCAAGAGAAGGCAGTCCCAAACGTTGATGAATTCCTCCTCCCAGTCCTCTGTCTCATCACAGAAGGCCTGCATCACGTCAAGGTTCTTCGCTGTGCGTGCCATGATATCTTTTGTCACTGCCAAAAAATTCAGCTCCGTGATGCGCCCAACGGCATCTACAAAGCGGGAAAAAATACGTGGGCAATCGGCCACGTCTCGATCTGCAATAATTTTGGTGAAGCACAATGCAAATCCACGGCTTAGAACGCTGCGTCCCCACTTACCTTTTTCGAGGGCGGTCAGGAAAAGGGTCCGCTCAACCTCTTTGGTATCCATTAGCGCCCGAAGGAGGATCACGTAGACACTTGCCGCCAAGCACTGGCTAACGGCCTCGTTGGGACCCAACACATGTGAGAGCTCATTCGTTATCCAGTCTCGGTTGGGCAATCCATCCTCCACCGCATCGCGAGCAATACGGAGAATGCTCCGGCTCACCTCATCTGTGAGTGTCTCCGGTGGCCGCGCAAGCACAAGTAATTTCTTCTCATCCACCGACAGCTGCTCCGCTCCAGGGGCAGATTGCAGTTGTGGTGGCAGCTGGGGTGGAGGTGGTGGCGGTGGCATGGCGTAGCCGCCAAGCCCAGACAGATCCGTGTGACTCGTCGCACGTCGTGTCCCAACACCGTATGGGCTAGAGACATCTTGGTAGCTTGTCGCGCGCTTTCCCATTGGCGGCGGGAGCTGCTCGCCGCTACGATGTTGCTGCTGCTGGTACTGGTGAATATTATTATTATTAGTATTAGTATTATAGTAGTGCTGCTGTTGATGCTGATGGGAGTGGTACCGCTGCTGCTGCTGCTGCTGCTGATGCTGTTGTTGTTGTTGTTGTTGGTCCTCCACTATGACCTGCTCCGGCTCCCGCGGCTTCCATCCACCGTTGCGTCGCTCAATGAGGTTCTGTAGCAGAAAACGGATACGATTTGAGAATTTTCGCTCCTCTTGTAGTTTTCCCAGCAACTTCCACAGGTCGGGCTGGGCCGCGGGGTCCTTCTCTTCATACATCTTCCCTACAACCTCCAGCAAGTTGACAACAACCTCGAGATCCATGTCGGTGGGTGCCTCTTTGTAAACCTTCTCATGCAAGATACGCGTGATAATCTTTTGCGTAATAAGCGACTTCAGGAAGAGTTCACCTGCAAATTTGATATTATTAACGTTGCGCTTACGCACCTTCTCGGCCTCATCCTCCGACGCGGTCTCCCGCACCGCCTTGGTGGCCCCGTCAAACATTTGCTGGCACTTCTCCACAATCGCCACACGAACCTCGCTCTTTTGTGCGTCCACCTCGCCACTCTGTGTGCTGCGGTAGTCGTACTCGTAGCGCACAATCATGTTGCACAGCCGTGCATACAAGCCCGCAAAGACCGGCTCAACGAGTGCCTTGTCGTAGATAAGCCGCACCACTTCGGCCACCACTTTCGTATTAAGAATGATCTCAGGGACCAGGATGGACTTGGCAATCACATCAAAATTGGACTCCGTGAGTTTGTTAAGCGTGGACTGCACCAAGCGAACACCGCGCTCCGACTGGTCAATCGCATCCCGCTGCTTGACCTTGAATCCATTGCTGGTCATCACAAGCTTCTCCGGCTCCGCCGGCTTGCTTTTGGCAGCTCGCGCAGCCAACAGGATGCGCCCCAGGGAGAAATCATCCGACAAGCGCTCCTTCCAGGTGTCTCTGTAAGCAAGAAGATCGGGTATCGTCATGATACGAGAGTTGCCAGCGTATTTCGGGTCATTGCTCGTCACGCCACGAGGCTTAAAAAGCATCCCTTCACCTTGCTAACTTTCCAAACTGGCCCAGTGATGGGTATGCGAAATGTCGGCGAGTTATGAATGGGGGTGGGGGAAAAACAGAAAAGAAAAAAAAACGAGTAAAAGATGGGAAAGGAAGTGAAGAGGAAGCAAGAACTCATGCGGCGCCTTTCTCGCCTCCACCTCTCTCCCCCAATGCATATGTGAACGTATCCTAACGCGCAGTGGAGGAAGGGGGGGGGGGGGGAAGACGATTTGTCGAGTGCGTGCGCAGAAGTATGAGAGGCATCTACAGGAATTGTCCCTCCCCACCACAACTCCCTCACCATTTTGCGTTGTTGTCGTGGTTCTTTTTCTTTTTCTTTTTAAACGCCGCACACGCGCGCAGAGGGTGCGAGGGTGGCACCACCAGCCTCCGCCATATCGTCTACTGGGGCACAATGCCGGCGTCACATCATTAGGCCTTCACACACGCAGCAGAGGGGGCCGGTGACGTAGTCGTACAAACCACATGCAAGGCAGCGACTTAGCACCTCGTCTTGCTTCACAAACGAAAGCGGCGTGAACGTGCTGCCAGAAAACACTGTCAGGTGAAACCCAGTCGCACAATCGTGTGCCTCTCCCTTCACGCTTCGCTCCACCGGCAGGTTGGAAGAAAGAGACATGGTTAACAGTGTCTGTTCCTCCTTCCCGCAGACAGAGCAGGGGAAACGAGGAGGAGACGACCTCGGGGCGGGATGCTGCGCTTTCCGTTGTTGTCGTTGCTGTTGCTGCCGCCATTGCTCCTCCACAACGTCTATGAAGCTTCCAAGCTGCCCCGCAAAGGCCCCATTGTAAACCCACGCCTCGCCCCTGCCACACCGCTGCTGGTACAATCTGCCAAATTGAACCGCGGCCAAAAACGGCAGATGCGAGGCGTGTTCCGCCTCTAACGTTGCGGTGGCGCTCGTTCGCCGGGTGAGCCCGGCGTAGTGCACCTCCTCCGCCATACGTCTCAGAGCGTTCGCCAAGACGAGCTCCATTAGCGCTGCCTCCCCTTCACCTCGACGCCAGATGCGAAGCAAACTCTGTCGCCACGCCGCATTTGCCTCTGGGAAGCGCAGAAACAACTCTAGGCCGTACTTCTGTCGCTGCTCCAGGTATCCCCACCGCAGCGCACCCATTACTCGGTAATCAGAGGCGGTACTGCTGCCGCTGCCTTCGCCTTTAACTTCTTCCTTCACCATCGAAGCCTCTGACGCCCTCTTGGCCTCCCGCTGGCGCGACTCTGCAATCGCGGCGCCAACGCCAGTGCCTGGCAGCAACTCCTCCCACACGAAGTACGAGGTCGACTGCTGCCGATTCCACAGGGCTTGAAGCACGTTACCAGGCAGTGCCGTGGTGGTTGCTTGGGCCGCCGCCGGCGACGTTGGGGCCGCGTTGTGGCCCCCATCGGAGAGAGAGGCAAACCCCTCCTGAAGCTGCATAAGACGCAACAAAAAGCCGCCCTCCGTGTTGACCGCAACAGGCATCAACTGAAACGGCGGATACCGCCGCATGCCAAGGCGAATTCCCAAAACAGCCAGGTTGCAAGAGGGGTGAATAGTCGCCCCCGATATCTCTAGCGCGACGTCGCGCGGGTACACGCTACCGTCCATCCGCATGCAGCGAAGAAGTTCCACGCAACGCCTCCCCACAAAGCCCAGCAGACGCCGCTGACACAGACCCAAGACGAGGTACGGTTTCCCACACCCATCCGTCGCAGTCACGCCCGTCCGCTGTGTGTCGGCGGCGGTCCTCGCATCAAGTGGCGCGAAGGCCGTGAGCGGGACGGCAATAAAGCGACGAACGGCAATTTCATCGCCCAAGTCGCCTTCGGCGGTCCATGACCCCAGTGTGCTCCACTCGACCTGCAGTGCATCGCCCGCGCCGTGGGCCTCGTCCAACGCACCCACGACAAGACTCCCTTCACAAACACACATCGGAGCGGAGACAAGGACTCGCAACGTAGGCCTCATCGCACCCGTCATCATGGAGCAGACGGCGGTGGGAATACCATGGAGTGAAGGAACCTCAACGTAATGGGTCAGCTGCACAAGAGTCGTGGAAACGGCAAAGACGCGGAGCCAACACGGGCATGCCACCACCAGACGATTGTCATTCCCACTACACCCCAGAACCCGCGCTGCACACGATGGCAGTAGGCTTGCCAGCGGACCGCCCGCAAAACGAAAGGCAGGTGGCGGAAATAGTCGCAGCTGCAAGCTCGCCTCATCGGAGTCGTCACCCCCAAAATTGAGGAGGTAAACACCACCTAGCGTCACCACAACTAGAAGATCCAGCGGAAACCACTCATAGCTAACCACACACCACCCAGCAGCAGCCGATAGTTGGACTTGATCGCTGCCACTATGCTCAGCAGCAACAGCATCAAGTTTCACAGGATTCCCAAGAGATGAGCGCGCTCTTTTACGTCCCTTTTTATCCGCTCCAGTGGCATCATCGACGCTTCCCAGAGAGGCCGCCTTGGGGATAAAGCACACCCCATGACTCACACGAAGCCTTCTCGTTCCGAAGCGGATGACACGATATATGAAGAGATCACGTGTGGTCCGTACACACAATCGACACGTCGCAGGGTACGCGTCTTCCGGAACCAAATCTAATGCCCATTTCGCCCCAGCGATGCACATCGCACTCGATGCATCATCACGGGGCTGGTACCTGGGTCGAAGAACGACTTCGGATGCAATGATGTCGTTGATGTGCAGGTACAACGCCCAGTGCGTGGCGACAAGAAGAACATTGTGTGGGCTCCAGGCCACGGAGTCAGGGCTATGGACGCAGTCACCATCCACCGGGGCGCAATCCGTCACAGCAAACGAAAGGTACGTCGCATGCCCGTCTGCCATTTACCGCAGAAGGTGTCCGCAGTTTGTTCCTCACTGTCGCTTTTTTTTTTTTTGCCCCCTATTACCTTCCCCCTCCCGCCCCTCGGCACACGCACACGCACACAACCCTTTCGCCTTCTCTATATCACTCTATCAGAGAGAGGCCTGGGAACTTACGAGAAGTTACCCGCCGTCTTTTGCGCCCGTCGCCTACCCCCGCCGCCTTATCACACCCACGCGTGGGTGTCGAACACCGCAGCTAACAGCAACGTAAAGGAAAGGAAAGAACAAAAAAAACGGGATACATTATTTATTGATCTCTAGGGGGGACACGAGAGCAGGCATAGACGAAGAAAGGCACGCATGCAGGAATAGTAAAATAGCCACCCCGAAGTCAAACACGTTGAAGAGTGATAGTACACCGAGGGGGCTCAAGAACACCAACGAGAGGAGGTCTCCATTCATGCACTCTTGAATCCCTAAAATTCCTCACAGTTCTTACAAAGGAGCCAAGCATCTACACATATTCAGCTAAATTCGTTCTCGGCATCTCTGTCGCTCTCAGCGATAAAAAGGTATACTGTTTTTTTTTTTTACCGCCGTCTTCACCGCCACATGTCGCAAGATATGTGTGCTTCTAGCCGCCCCAGAGACCCGACTATACATGGAATGGGTACATATATGGTGATGGTGATGTTTGGGGGGAGTCGCATATATATATAATACCATATACATCCCCGTCATCCCACACGCAAAAGAAAACGACAGCAATAACACCGCTACCTGCAAGCATCCAAAATGCATTCATATATATTATGGGGCCTCAAAAAATGCTTGGAAGTTCATTCGTGGTGGATGATTGTTGTTGTTGCTGTTGTTGTTTTTGCGGCTTCGAATCTGCGGAGACCGGCTTCCGTGGAACAAAACGGTGGTTTTCAGCATCGTCGGTTTGCGATGCGGTGCGGGTGTCAACTGCAGGCAAGGTTGGGTAGCCGTCGTCGGCAGTTGATGCGTGGCATTTGGCGTCCGTTGCTACGGCGGCCTTCTCTACAGAGGAGGCGGGGGTGTTGTGCCGCTTCTCCTGCCCTGACGTCAGACGTGAGCGTCGCACGTGGTCGTCAAATGCGTCGAGGTCGCGGCGCAGTACACCGGCAAGGCCGTGTCTTTCGACAATGGAGCGCAGCTCAAAAAAGAGTGGGCTCATCATCTGTCGTAACGTCTCTAGTTGCTGGACACGTCTGGAGTACTGCTCGTTCTTGTCGGCGAGCATCTTCTCCTTGTAGCTTCCCATGATGGTTGACTCCACCTTCATTGAGGCAATCGTGTCGTTGAGCATCGCCACCTTCTCGCGCTGCTGCTCCAAGTCGCGACGCATGCGGTCGTTTGCCTCACACAAAGATTTGTACGAGGTGTCACCGAGGGCGCACTCAAACCGCTCAATTGTACGCTTCGCCGCATTGAGTTCCATCCGCAGCTCACGAATCTCACTTTTCATCGCATGCTCCGCCTCCTCACGCTCACGTCGCTTCATCTGCATCTGCAGCTGCAGCTCTGCTACCCGCTGCTTCAGTGCCTGCACCTCCGCCTCGGCATTGCTAGCGCGTTCCGCCTCCGACTGTTGGGCACTCTGGTGTGCCTTCAGCTGCTTCTCTGTCTTTATCTTGAGTGTGGTGAGTTCATCCGTGATAGTCTGCACGTGGTGCGCGTGCTCCTGCGTCCGCTGCGCAAGCTTGTCACTGAGCTCCTCGACTTTACTCTTCAGTGTTTCCTTCTCCGCGTTGAGGAAAATGGCGTTCTCAACGTACTCCTTCTCGCGAGCCGCGAACTTCGCCGTGACCTGCTGCAGATCTTCATGCAGGCGGTCATGGTTGGCCGTCATGCGGAGGAGTTTTTCAAAAAGGTCCTTCTCAACCGCCTCCTTTTGTGCCTTTAACTCCTCGGAAAGGGTCTGAAGGGCGTCGCGTGCGGCGCTTACGGACATGAGGTTGTCCCGCAACTTCCGCATTTCCTCCTCGGTGGTACGCAGAGTGGCCGCCTTCTCCTCCTGCAGCCGTTCTGTTGTGGCACGCAGCACTGCTATCGTCTCAAACGCCTCCCGCTCATTCTTTTCCGCGTTCTCCTGCATTTTTTGCAGTCGTATCTTAAGACTCTCAATTTCCGCCCGCAAAAGCGCCTTCTTTGTGTACGCGTCATCGCCGGCAATACGCATTTCCTCCGTCATTTTAGCAAGATCCTTCTTGAGCTGTTCCACCTCCCCTCTGAGGGAGACATTCACCTGGAAGTCGTACTGCTCACGTTCCGCGGCCTTGGCACGGTGGGCGTCAAACTCCTCCTTCAACCCCACCAGCTCCGCGTTCACCTGTTCCAGGGTCTTGGAGAGTTGCCCTACCTGCGCCGTATGCACACCAATCTCCAGGGTGAACTGCCTACGCTCCACAGTCGCCTCCGCGTAGGCCTTGTCAAGGTCACGGTAGAGTGTTTTGGTCTTCTCACGCTCCCCGTCCAGCAGGGACTGCACGGCCTCTAGTTCCCTCCGCCTATCCGTGGATAGCTCATGCAGCCGCTTGCACTCGTCCCGCGAGGACTCCAGTTGGGAGTTAAGAAGGCTGATGAGCACGCTTCCCTTCTCGTCGTCACGACCCTTTCGTTCGAGTTCAGATTGAAGCAAGCGCGCCGTCTCACGGTGTTTCTCTACTTCCTCGTGAAGAACCTTCAGCAGAAGCGCCGTCTCGGCGTCTGTGCTCTGCGGATTCACCTGTAAGAGTTGAGTGTCGACAGCGGCGAGATCGGTGGTCTGCGCCGCCTGCATGGCGGCAAACTGCGCCTGCATCTCCTCATTTCCCCGCCTAAGACGCTCGTACTCCACCTTCAGTTCACGGTATGCGTCCGTTGACTCGTCGCGCAGGCCTTCCACTTCCCGCAGTCGTGCGCGCGTCTCGCGAATTCGCTCCTCGAGCACCGCCTCTGCCTCGACGCTCTTCATCTGTGCGAGCTCAAGTTCGTTGCCCAGCATGGCCACGCGTCGCAGGGCGGATTCCCGCTCCTGCATCAGGTTGTCCACGCTCAGCTGCATCCCATTCAACTTTGCGCGGAGCTCGCGGGTCTCGCGGTCTTTGCACTCGAGTGCCTCACTCAGCCGCTGCTCACGAATCTCGAAGGCCAACCGCAACTCCCGCTCGGTGATGGCGCGGTAAATTTCCATCTGCCGCTGCCGCTCATCATCCACGGCGCGCCTCCATTCCTCCTCCAACCGTTGCCGCGCCTCAGCCTCCAGCTTGCGCAGACGCTCCTGCTCCTCGGCGAGTTTGCGCATCTCCGCTTGACGCAGAAGCTCCCCCTTCTCGGCATCATAAGCCGTGGACTTTTTCTTCGACGGCATGCGGAATCAGCAGGGGCGAGAGCGACACACGCACACACACAAGCAGCGAGGGAAAGAGGCCCAGAAGGAGGAAAATTATTTTCTACTCTTTCTGTTTCGCTTCCTGGGGGAGATTTTTTTTTGTATCTCAGTCTTCTTGCGGTTGTGAGAAAAGAAAGAAGAAAATAAAAGAAAAAGAAAAAAGGCGGCACCAAAGAGAGTTCAGAGGTCCGATGAAACTCCCTCGACGAAGCCGCGGCGCAGTCGCCGTGGCTGCAGAGTGGGAAGCGGTACACACCACCCCGCCCGCGCCACACAACGTGCGGTGGAGGACACCGGCAGTGGCAACCGTCCAGGGCCCTTTCCACCCCCACCGTCACCGCCACCCAAACCCAAAGGCCTTTCTCCCAGAGGCAAAACCCCACACACCAGACATCAGCAAAAATAAATAAATAATAATAAAATAAAGAAGAGGGAAGCAACAACTGCAACAACAAAAAAAAAGAAAGAAAGAAAGAGTGCCAATCGTGGAAACCGACGCGGAACAGGATTGACCATCAAACATCGGGCTTACTCCAACAGGGGAGTGTTACAGAATGCACGGCGTGTGCGGGACGCGGTGTGAAGAAGCATGGGACAGATCCACGAGGCAAGACCGTGGCACTCCCTACGAAGCGTACGACTCGCCGCCCTGACACCAACGCACGCTGCGGCAGATCGGTTCACAGACGTGAATAATAAACGGGACGTTGTCAGCATGGAGGAAAGTTCCTCCGCGTCATCTTCCGACACTCCTGGCTGCATCAGCGCCAACGGCACGTGGCCACCGCCAGAGACGCCCGATACGACACGGAGGGTGGCGTTAGCTTCTTCCTTGCAAAGCCGACTGCCATGAAGGAGTTGATTCAGTTCCCGGCGTCGTATACGCTGCCGCTGACGCTGCCGTCGCTCGAGGAACTTCTCCCGCTTGCGCAGTCTGGCGGCCAGCTCCTTTGGTGTGACGAAAAAGGTCGAAAATAATTGAATCCCAACCGATGAGCACGAAGAAGAGGCGGCGCTGCTAACTTCGGCGTGTTTGGAGCGCCGAGACCGGCGGAGGCGGCGGCACCACCACTGCTTTGAAAGTTGCTGCTGGATGTTTCGACTCAACGCCTTGCAGCCGATAGCTTCGTTATCATCGTGCCCCATCGTGTGACCTACCCCTTCGGCATCGTTCCTGTGTGTGTTGTGACAAGGCGACGACGCGAGGCCCTCACTTTGCCGTCGCCCCGCCGGGGCAGTAAGGCGAAACAGCAGAGAGCGTCGCATTCGCAGACGCCCCCCTCCCCCTGCCTCAGAAGAGCAACGCCAAAAGAAGCAGAGAACGACACGACAAGAGAAGCAAAAGATGTCACGGTGGCACTCTCGTATTAAATGAAAAAAAAAACGCCTGCGCGGAGACCTCCGCGCAGAGGGGGCAAGCGAGAAAGAGAGAGGGAAAGACAAATATAGGCACGTGCGACACAGACATGCACACCCCGTCGCGAAGCGTAAAAGACGAACAGAGAGACATGCACACACAGAGAGACACAAAGAGTGTGAGAGAGGGAGATATGTACTCCCCATCACTTTCTCCCGCTCTCCCCTCACTGGATTTCCCGCCCGCGCCGCAAAGGAATGCAATAAAATGAAGTAAAAGTTATAAAGCGGAAGGGGCAAGGGAAAAGAAAGAGTGCAGGCGTGTGTGCGTGTGGGTATACATGTGTGCAGGAGGAGACGGAGTATTTCATCGTTTCCTTCTTCTCAGTACATTCCGCAGTGCCGTATCCATCTCTGCAGGTGTGGGGGGTGTGTCATGGCCGCGCCTTCCCCCCTGCCTCCTTTTTCCGCTACAGCGTGTGCAGCTGAGAACGCCACAAGGCGAAAAAGCAAAGACGGATGATGAAGAAGAAGGAGAAAATGCACACACACACACACACACAATCACACCGCGCTAAGTGAACGCACACAAAGGAAAGAAAAAAACTAAAAACTAAAAATGCAGCACACCGGGCACCCTCAATTCTCTGTTCCTTTTCCACGTCACCGTTTATCTAACTTGCGCTTTTTTTTTAATTCCCTCCAGTTGTTGTTGTTGTTTTATTTTGCTTCATTGCTTCATGGCTCTTTTTCCCTCTTCTCAAAGTTCTTCTTCTCAGCACCCGACGTCCACACACAGACAGGGAGGAGGGAAATACGTGTGCCCAAGACGTGTGTGACGTCCACCACGGGCCGCCGCCCTTGCTCCGGGCGGCTTTTGAGAGTGCCCGCGGTAATCGCTGTAACAGCGGCAACAACAGCGAAGAAACAACCAAATAAGAATAAAACAACCACAATAAAATAAAGAAAGAACGAAACAGACGCCGGGTTAGAAATAGACTAATGGTGCCCATGAGCATACACGTACACGTACAGAAAAACAAACAAAGAGGCACTCTACTGAATTGTGATGCGGAGGAGGTAAGCAAACACTGTCGTATGTCTATGTCTGGCGTGGGTGCCGCGGATGCTACTTCTTTTGCCGTGTTTTCGGGCCTATCGCCGCTCACTCAACCGCCTCATCCCCCTCCGCTTGGTCTTCTTGGGTGGGCGTGGAGGAAGGGAAATACAAAAAAAAAGCAACAACAACAAGAACAGCCCTACCGAAGAAAGAAAGAAAAAAAGGGTGGATAAGCGAGAAGGAAAAGGGGGAAGTAGTGTCTATATTGACAACAAATAAACATGCATGTTTAACCTTCCGCTCCTCAGCGGCGGAAATTGTTGCTCAGTACTGTCTCGACCTGCGTGAGGATGCCCGTGTGATCCACGACGAACGGCTCCGCCGTACCGTCTGCGAGAACGTAGTACTTTTGCCCAACGTTGTGTCTTCTATCGCTCTGCCAGCGAATGTCCATGAGGGTGTTGCACACCACCTGTGAGCGGAGGTTGGAGAGACGGAAGAGTGTGAAGGAGCCAGAGGGGTCTGGGAACACTTTTCGCACATAGACGAACTTTGTGTCCTTGGGCACGGCGCTTTTATCACGCTGATGAATGTACGCCGCGTGAACGGCCGCCGGTGTCAATCCCTCCGCGCGAAGTCGTGCAACCTCATTCACAAACCCCATAATGCTGTCTAACACGCCGCCTAGATACCGTTGTGCCTCGGAGACGCTGAGCAGTCGCACGTCCTCGTCGTAAAACGTCTGCACATGCGGATGCGGCTGGCTGCGATTTGTGCTCTCATTGTTCATGCATGGCACATACAACACCAATCTAGAGTGGACGTCCACCACCGCCGTGCCCACACCGGCTTCTGTTGGAAACATGGCGCCATACCTGCCGGGTTGTGCGCAGTAATACATCACTACCGTCTCCTCGTTGGTGAAGGAGTAGAAGCGAACCCATCCACCACTAAGAAATTCGTCAACAAACCGCTGTCTATTCTGTTCCTCACGGGGGAGCGCCAAAAACGCATTACTGCCACCAGGGAGAAGATGGCTCCCAGCATGTGGACGCGTGCCACTGCCAGATTGCACCAACGGGTGGGACGGTTGACGCGGTGCAGGAAAGTTCGGTGGTGGAACGGCTTGTGGCACCGGGTATGGTGTGTTCTGTGGCATACCAGGTCCTCTACGTGGCAGCGGGGGCCCACCATGCACTGTCATCACACCACCAGCAGAGGGTTGACGCCCCGTTTGTGGCATCTTTGACACTTGAGCGGCATCACAGCCGGTGATCGTGATGTTCGTGGTAATAGGTCTGACTGTTCGCGTCACTTGCGCCAAGGGAGGCTGAATCGTCTTTGGAGCCGCGTTCGTTGCCGGCACAGGCTTCGCCCCCGCAGAACGACTCGAAGAAGCACTGCGTGGGACTCGGGGCTGCCTAGACATCTCTGGTGGTTTGGAAGCCGTATCGGCTCGAATGACGATAACGCCTTGGCCTTGGCCTTGCTGCTGATGAAGACTGGCTTCTCTTGCAGCTCGATGCTGAGCAGCTATACCAATAATATCCCCTTTGTCGTTCACTTTGTAAGGAGATGCAGCAGACACCTCCTCCTCCTCCTCCCTCGGTTCCCCTACTCGCGTATCGGTGCGTTCCTTCTTTTTAACTGGAGAGGACGCCACGTCTATCATGTCCTGCATCTCTGCAGAACTTCGTGGTTGAACTCGCTCCCTTTTCGTTTGCCTTGACAGACGAATTTCAGGTGGAAGCTCAAAGGAAAAACTGCCATTGGTCTCCGCACGACCCTCTCCTCTTAATCCGCCGGACCCTCGCCGCCCACCGCTCCCCGCCTGTCGTTGCGTGGAGGCTAAATTGGGCATATCTGGGAAGGAGGCATCACGGTGTGCCACCACCATCGCCCCCACATCCTCTGGGGAAGCGACATGGCTGTCACCTACGCTAATGCGTCCACCAGAGGAGGCGCGTCCTGTGGAGCTGCGTCCAGACTGACGTCCGCTTGGCCGGGGCCTTGGGTCACCAGGAAGTCGCACTTCCAGTAGACTGCCACGATGTGTTTCCGCCTCCTCCCATAGCATCGTGTTCATACGTGAGGAACGGCGTGGGGATGGACTCCAGCTAGGCCCACGGCACTGTAGCGAGTGTGCCTGCAGCTTGGCAGAGGAGGTAAACTTTTTGGCGCATGACACGCATACAAAATTCACGTCCTTGAGGCGTCCTTGGTAGGCGCACCGCATACAGAGATCATAATCACACTTATAGCAGCGGAAGGCGGGAGTCTCGGGGGTGATCTTAAGAATCTCTCGGTCACAAACGTTACAATCAAATCCATTGTACCCATGAGGCATGGCTGTCAGCTTTGTCATGATGTGATTGTTCAAGCACTTGAACTCTTCTATCTCACTGTTAAGTTCGCGGGGAAGCGAAATCACGGGGCGCAACGACCACCGTGTGGCAGTTTCTCGACCTGGATACACCATGGCATACTTGTCCGGGGAGGCACGGACAATGCGTCCCGCCTCCTCCTCCGGCGCACCCTCATGCGCCACCAACATGACGCTTGACTGCCTATGCACGCGTGAGGCGCGCGTCGCAGGTCCACTTTCCGCCGCCACGTCTGCCCCAGAGGATGACGACACAAGTGCCTCACTCCCCCTACGTCTGTTTTGACGCGTTAGACTTTGATTTTGCACCACAGTGCGGTGCCGCCTTTCATTCTCTTCAATGCTTCGTCTCACATCCGCCTCCCCACGTGAAAGCTTCAACAACTCCACAAGGACACGTAACGTTTCATGGTGCTCCAGCACCAGATTTGCGCGGGCCCGTTGCTCGGTCAAGAGGACGCGTCGCATTCCTTCCACAAGCACATCATCTGCAGTCTTTTTCGTAGCAGGAATTGGAAGATTTTCTGCAACACGACTCAATGAACGGCGCGTGGAGGCGTGGCGGGAGGCGGAAGAAGCAGGGCGTTCCAATAAATTCAACTTGTACAGGAGGGAGAGTGGACACGACAGCGGACGTCGATTCCAGACGGGGTGATGCAACAGCTCCTGCAGCGAGGCCCGTTTGCTGGCGTCCCGGTGAAGTGCCCGGTTCACAATGTCGCAGATCTCCGGGTCGCCTGACCACCCTGTTGGCCAACTCCACGCCGCATCCGCGACGGCGTTGAAGAGGCTCAGGGTTTTTTGCGTTTTGTCCATGTCACGTGTCCCTCGCCTTTCCATTGTCTCCACGTACGGGTTCATGCGAGTCAGCATGACGTATAGCACGACACCGATGCTCCAGGTATCCACTTCCTGGCCGTACTGGAGCGGCTGCTGATCGGTTGAGTTACTCATGCGCTTGTAAACCGCTTCGGCAATCTCTGGCGCCATGTACATGGCGGTGCCCGCAACCGTCTTGCGTGGTTGTGCCTCCGCCACCCGACTGGAGAGGCCAAAGTCTGTGATTTTCAGGTTCCCATCAAAGTCAAAAAGAAGGTTCTGTGGCTTGAGATCGCGGTGGATGCAGCCCTTGGAGTGCATAAAGGCAATCGTGTCCACTAGCGCCCACCCCACCCAGAGAATCTCCGGCACATCCAAACCGTGATTGGCGATGACGTCGTGGAGCGAGCGGCTGGCACAACACTCCATCACGACGTACGCGCTTTCCTCGTCACGCCCGGCGGCGATGAACCTCACCACGTTTGGGTGCCGTGAGAAGTGACTCATTAGCTCCACCTCCTTACGGAGACGAGACCAGTCAGCCTCTGTCATTTTCTTTGCGGAGGCCTTTAACGCGTACAACTCGCCGCCATTTGACCGCGCCGCGTACACACGACCAAAGCCGCCTTTACCTAACAGACTCGTCGTTGTGAGCTGCAGACCATCTTGCTCAAATACGATAGTCATCTGTTCCAACGGCCGCTGGAGATGGCCATCGTTGTTGTCGGTCGTGTTGTTGTCACCGCGGTGCATATGGCATCGCTGAATAAACGGCGTCTGGGCCGTAGGCGACAACCCAGCAATGGCAGGCGTGTGTGACAGCTCGCGTGGAATAGACACCACGGCGCGCGACGTTGGTGTCCGTGGCTGGACGTACTTGTCTCCTTCCCCTTCCTCGGCCCCTCCTTCGCAGGCTGTTCGAGTGCTGCTACAGTCATTGCCGCCGTTGTTTTCCCGTTTCCCTTCCCAGGCGGACATTCTCGTGCAGTGCCTCTTTCTATATGTATTCTAAGTGCCCCACGCACACACACACACACGCACGCACGCACAGAGTCAGACAGACAGTTCCGCCCTCCCTCCTTCTATGAATACAAGTTGTATCTAGGCCGCAAAGGAAACCAAAAAAAAAAAAGGAAGCACGAAGCGCATCCACGCCAGCCAGAAAAATTGAGTTGGAGAGGCAGGGTCGCAGGCAGAACATCGTTACAAAAAAAAAGAAGAGAGAGAGGGGACAGGCGATTGCCAAGCATTAGCGTGGATACGACTCTCCCTTCCGCCGTTTTCCTGGGGCGGACTCCACACACTGCCACCAACTCCACCCTCCTCATCCGCAAAGCAGCAGCGGCAGCAGCAACGTCCTGACATCCTCCTTCCTCTTTTCCCCACCTCTCAATCCCCTCCAGTCACTCACTTCCTGCCTGCTCCTTCACGTCTGGCTGCCGCCTGACATGCGCATCTCTCGCGTCCGCAAAGTCACGCACGTACGAAGGAAAGTGGCACACCATTCCCCCAGGAGAGAGAATAAGATGAGACAAACACACATTCCCATGACATCCGCAGTGTAAACCGATAACAACAATAACATGAAGAGTAAAAATTGAGCTTACAGGCAAGCAAATATATTGCATGCATTCTCATCTGTGTGCGCATTGAAAAACGAAATTATTGGTTCCTCCACGTGTTATTTATATATAAATATGCGCAGCTTAACTGTATTTTTTCTTAATCATTTTTTTTCCGGCTGCGCCTTCATTTGCTGACTTCAGCACCGCACTCACCTCCTTTGAAGCAACTCCACCCGATTCACAACTGCGGCAACCAAAGCAGTAACTTGGCGCCCGTAGAGATTGCGTCACGCGACGGCGTCAATTACACAACTATCCCCTCCCCATATGTGTCTGCGTGTTTGTGTGTGCCTCAGTTAACGTTCATCCAAACCCTCAGTATTAGTCTCTGCATGCCCGATGGTGGAGGACGCCCAGGAAAATGTGACCGAAATACAAAAAAAAAAATAAAGTAAAAGCAAGGAGGACAAAAAGAAAAGGCGTGTGTCTTACGCGGGGTCAACCCGTCCATCATCCTCGGCTTCCTTTGCCTCCCTTGCCTTCGTGGCCGCCGCCTCCAGCGGGCTTGCTTCGTGTTGCGTCCTTTGCAGCTCCGTCTTGACGGCTGTGTGAATGCATGCGATGCCGCCCGTCAGGTTTTCATAGCGCACATACCCAAACCCCGCCTCACGTATCATTTCCGCAAATGTCTCTTGATCCGGAAAGGCGCGTATGCTGTCAACGAGATATTGATAGCTCTCCCTGTCCGCCAGCATCTGTCCTGCCCTGGGGATGACGCCATACGACCACACGTCATACGGCACACTTAACAGTGGGCACGTCACCTTGCTGAACTCTAAGATGTTCAGAACGCCGCCGACTCGTAGCACGCGGTACGCCTCACGTAGAGCTTTTGGGCGATCACTGAAGTTACGAATTCCAAACGACACCGTGTAGCTGTCAAAGTGCAGATCATCAAAGGGTAGCTCCTCCCCGCTGCCAACAACCCACGAGACTTCATGGTAGCCCTCTCGCAAGGCGCGTGCCTCTCCCTCGCGGAGCATCTTTTCATTGATGTCCAGCACTGTCACTTCCGTCTGATGCCGCGGCGTTGGCGCGAGACCAAAGGACTTCTCCGTATTTCGGATCTCGTCTATAATTCGAAAGGCGATGTCGCCAGTGCCGCCGGCAACGTCAAGAAATCTACCACCAGGGCACGGGCGCACACACTCCTCCACGAAGTGCCGCTTCCAAATTCGATGCACGCCAAGCGAGAGCACATCATTCATCAAGTCGTACTTGCTAGCCACGGTGTCAAAGACCTTCTTGACATAGGCGTCACCAAGCCCCATGTTGCGCTGAAGCATGCTGCAACGGAGCATTCTTCTCACTGTCAAACGAACAAAAAACCCACACACCCACACACACACTGGCACAAAGCCTCCACTACCGCTTTCCTTCTATCACAGCCGCACCCCACTACGGTCGGTGACCCGCTTTGTATGCGGTGAATGTGCTCCTTTTTTTGAAGAGTGGGGGGTTCGCCGTGCCACTTTTTTTTCTTCCTTTTTTGTTTTTATCCTCTCTCTCTCTGTGCTTGATTGCCTCTCGCCGGCGTTCTTTGAAGGGAAGAGAAGAGGCAAAAATGAAGGAAAAAAATGAATAAAATGGAGTCAAACTACACGTCACATTGCGTGCGGGAGCACATGTGTATTTTGCATAAAGAAGTCCGCGTGCATCAGCCACGTCCAATTAACTTGCCCCCGCCCCGCCCTTCCCTGCCCTGCCCTTCCCTCTTTCTTTCCCTTCCCGCCTCTCTCTTCCCACTCGGGGGCCTCGTTCGCTTCAGCACGTTACCGTTCCGCAGGGTGTTGAACCCGCGGCGGCCACACAGGCAACGGCCGCTGCACTTCATCCTGCAAGCGGGTCTCGCTCCCTTAAAGGACCCGCCCCCCCCCCCCCAATGCAAAGACACGCATGGGGAGAAGGCGGGCCGGCAAAGGCAGACGCCAACGAAGAGGAAAGAAAAAGACGACGCCAGTACGCAGCGCTCTGGAGAAAGGATAGATAAGGGAGAAGAAACGTGCCACATAAAAAACAGGAGGGCAAACGCGTCCCACGGCTGCCCCCTTTTACTCCGTCCTCATGCTATCCGCACACCACCCACGGCATCGCCCACAACGAGGCGCCCGTACTTCGTCCACATCCCACACGCGGATATGTTTGGCGACCCAGCAAAGTTCATGACATTGTGCAACACTATTTTTTGCACTGCGTCTCCAGAAGTGGGGGTCGACGAGGACACGGTGGGGATTTCCGCGGCCATCACCTGCTGCGATGCCTGACGCCGTTCCCCTTCTTCATTATCCCCATCGTCATCGTCATATGCATCGCCTTCCTGGCGGCGGTGGCGATGCTTGTGTGCGGTTTGGGTGAGTGACTTTTCCCTCAGCGCACTCACGTCAAAGAGCATCAGCGAGTTGGACGACAGGTGGGGGAAGGCGATGAGGCCAGGTGGGTCCAGCACCGACAGCCGCGGCAAAGGCAAACGAAACATCGCGGTTGTCCGCATGGCGTCGGCAAACTTTGACTCCGCAATCAGGCGGATGTCGCTGTGCCCCACATTAATTCCCTGCACTTCTCCAACGTGGTTGTTGAGCCACACGGCGCCTCGCAGCGGAGAAGCGTAGGAAGGCTGCAGACGACAGATGGTGGAGGACGTTTGGTGCACGGCGATGCATTCACGAACGCAACGCACATCCCAAAGCTGCACGGCCCCGGATTGGGTTCCGCACAGAACGTTGACCGGACTATCCCTGCAGAGAAACGCCGCGGCTGTGAGTGGATCGTGCACGGAAGCCCGAGAGCCTTGTTGCCCAATGTTATATACACGCGCAACCTTACCGGTACATGGGACCGCAGCGCCAGTGCGACGATCTAACCACACCGCACAACCAGAGGAAAGCGCCGCCAGGCTAACGTGCTCCGTAACTGCCACCACATCATTTGCACAGACGGTTTCAGCAGTTGCATCCGCACTGGACCCGGTGCTGCTGCCGCCCCTGGTTCCGTGGAGGCCGGCATGGCCCTCTGTCAAGGAAAAGCGTTGCTGCGGCTCGTAGGTGTTTTCGTCCACCTCTTCCAAATCAAAGATGTCCACAACGGGGGCACGGTGGTAGCCTGCTATAAGATGCAGCGAGGATGAGAGGAACTGCGCCGCAGAAAAGCCAAAACCCACACTATGCCACCCACGTGCTCGCACTCTAACCAGCGGGGAGGTGGAGGTGGAAGTGGCCTCATCCGCCAACTTGTGGTTGTCAAGCCACTTCTCCGTACTGTACACAGAGAGGCATTGCGCCTGGCAGGCGAGAGCAAACTCCTCCTGCATGTCAAACACAACGTCTATAATGGGGCTTAACGTCCCCACAATTTGATCCGGTGGCACGACTCTGTAAAGGTCATTAAATTGCAGCAAGTGCCACCGCCGAAGCTGAGCAAAAGCTTCCACCCGCTGGGGCAGGACAAGAGCCCCGTGCCGTTTGAGTGACCTCGCGCCCTTTTCACAAGCCACACGCGTCGGGTCCGGCACGAGGCTGCCACGCCCAGAGTAAAGTTGATTAAGGCGGGGAAAGAGAATGCGTTCAAGGAAGAACGGCCCGTTCCGCCTCAGTGCGGCGTTCTCTCTTTCCCGCTTGAAGAACTCCAGGACATCTTGCGTCTCATCGGCTTCTCGAGCCCGCTTGCAGGAACCCATAAGCCCTCCTTTTAAATGTTCCCAGCGAGAGGAATGTTGACGTCTTTACATAAATAAACGTCTATCAATTCAAAAAAAAAATCTGCTGTGAATCGTCCAGATAGAAAGAGAGGAGCTAAAACCTACCGCAGCAAATAAGAAGTACATTGGGCACATTGCAGAGAGAGTGAGAGAGGGCGAAAGGGAGGTGGAATATACATATATATATATATATATATATATATATGCTAGGTGCGGAGCTGAGCCGCACTTCGCTTCTTTGATTCTTCTGGGCTACTCCCCATCACTGCATTGCTTCTCTAGTCTCTACTGGCAATCAGCGGGTCCAACGTAGTGTGACATTCTACGCAGCTACTTTAAGTATATATATATATATATATATCATTTTTTTTCCCCCGTGTCGTCGCTCTACGCCTCGTCTACTCCGTGAAATACGGTGCGATGCAACTCCTCGCACAAACGCTCTTGCCCAAACTCAAGTCATCGTAGTAGCCCAGCCACCACCCAGTTCCCCCTCGGTACACAAAGTGGAACTCTTCAAAGCCATAGTGTGCGCCCATGCTCCTGTAAGACTTCCCTCATTTTTTCCGTCAGCAACAATTCCAATCTTTGCCGCAGCTCCTCATTCAGACCATATGTATCACTAAAGCGTCTTACAAGGTCTGCTGCTGCGTCTCCTCGGTGAACGCCAATGCGGCCTGTTTTTCCGCTCGGTAAATCGACATCAACGTACAACAACGGTTTGTTCTGTTCCCTATGCAAGTGCCGCGCTTCTGCCTGCAGAAAAAACGGCTCCGCAACTGTGGGTCGCATGGTTTTCTGAGGCTCCTCAGCGGCGGAGCGCAGCATTTCTTCAAACTTGGGTCGATAGTTTCTCCTTGCCTCTGTCATCCGCTGCACAGCCTTGTCAAAACCTATAGCAATAGGCACATGTGGTGGATCTTCAACCGGGGCCTGCGGTTGCCGACGGCGACTAGGAACGTTGTGGTGGCTGGGAGAAGGACGACAAACATTCCTACTGCTCCTGTCGCATCGGCCTGGTGTTTCCCTGCCCCCCTCGTATGCACTCCCTTTAACGGAGGGGTCTTCGGCCGTGAGAGAAGACGGCGAAGTGGAGGCCGCTGTGGACTCCGTGCCCACACCATCAACTGGCGCCCGCGCCCACCATGCCAGGGAATCACGCTCCTTGTGAAAGCGGGCCGTGTTGGGGGCAAATGTACACTCCTCCAACTCCTGCTTCTCCCTCGACTTATACGCCGCGTCGATAGAGCTGCGTTTAGTCTGAACCAGCGCTCCTTCTCCATCTGCAGCTGCTTTTTTCCCCCGTTCTTCGCGTGCAGCTAGAACTTTGAATGACGCCACGCGAATTCTCTTGTTAATCGTTGGAGCAAATGTGCATCCTTGCAGTGGGTCATACGCTGTTTTCTTCTGCCGTGTCCGCTGGAGCAGGCGCGGGTGAGGGCTACGGCTCAGTCCAGGGGACTCCTCCGACACCCGCGGGTCACCCGGCGCAGAGACGCGGGGGCAGTCGCCACACGGCGGTGCAGTGGGGGACGGGGAACTATTTTCCTCGCCATGAGCAGCGGCGTTGGTGCAGCTGCCCGTCCTCCGCGAGGGCCGCTGCAAGATTGGCACAGCTGCTTTAGAGGCCTTGAGGGGAGATGCGTCCATCCCTGTTTTCCTGCATTCATCAGCTGGAGGTTCGGCACGCATGACGCGGCGCATCGTGGGCACTGAGCCCGGTGAAGAAACACAGCGAGGGCTGGGAGGTTCAGTCTCCACTCCACGATGCTCTCTGCCAGCGGTCGCGGCAGCACGATCCGCGCCGCGGACGCCATCACTATTGTCTTCTCCAGAAAAGGAAAGAAGTGCGGCGCGGAGTACAGTCGTAAGGACCTTCACGAAGCGGTCATAGGCCACGCAACGCACTCCGGCTGCTTCATCCAAGCCAAGGGCCAACATGAACTTGTCGACCATGGCGGAGGGGGCTTGCAACCCCAACTCCTGCAGCGTGGCGTACACCCCAGCGAGTGTCATTTCGCCACTTCCCACACCGGCATGGGTGCGCCACAACTTCTGTACGCGCTGACGAACCTCCTGCGACTGCTGGTGCGAACTCTGCCATGCGCCCTCCGCGACCATGCGCTGGCTTTTGGCGTTAATTACAGGACGAAATGTCTCCTCCGCGGACGCCGAGTGCACTTTGCGCATGAGTGCAGCCCGACTCTTCTCATGACTATCAACAGCGGTGTGGCTCCGCCCCACACGCGGGTTGGTGACCGGCGTGAATGTCTCGTTGCTCTGACGCTCCTCCTCCACCTTGGCCAGAAGCTGCTGCCGATGACGCTCTCGCCGCACAAGGTCGTGTTGCTGCCGCTCTTCCAAGGGCAGAAGGCCACTTGCAAGGCGACGACTCCGCCGGTTGATCACTGGGCGAAACGCGCAAGACGCATCCCCCGCGGAAAACGTCCCTGCGGACATGTACACCCCCTTCACTCCTCGACGCAAATGGCAAGCGTCTGCCCGAAAAGTAAAAAACAAAAAAAATAATAATAATAACTCGAAAATCGCATATATATGCAATAAGAGAGGAAGAGGGGAGGGAGGGGAAGGGGGAAACAAGGTGCAATTAGGTACAAATATTGATGCCCATGCGCGCGTGTGCATCACGCTCACCAAGGCAGAGTGGCCTTCACCACAAAATGCCGCCACCTCAGTGAAATGCGTTTTATATGGAACTATTTTATTCATTGGGCTTTATACGAGACGAGGCGCATGATAAAAAATAAAACGCCCAACACACAATTAAGATAGATTTATTTTTCATTTTCAGTCTTTTCATTGACCCTGTCGTCATCCTTCGATTCACCGTTCTCGTGCCCGTTTCCTGCTCCAAAGAAAACTCCCCTCATCCACATCCACACACACACACACACAGCAAGAAAAGGAAAAGGAAGAGGAAGAGGGGAAAGGACAGAAGAAAAACGGCCGAAAGAGAACTCTAAAAGAGTGAACCCGAAAAGGTGCCAACCAGGCAGCTCGGGTAGCCCACCAGGTGATCCATGCTGTGCCGCACCGCGTTCTGCAGCTGCGCCACCTCCTCAAGCACATCCACCATCTCCTCCCCACATTTGGTTAACAGTGCACCGTGGGAGCGGATCACGTCGGCCAAAATACCCTGCACAAGGTCCACGTTTTCACGTCGCCGCAGCCACGTCGCCAGAAAAGAAAATAGCCCGCGGACACAGCTGTGGATACGGTCTAGTTCCTCCTTCGAGTAGGAAACACCATCGGTATACTCCACAGCACGCTTAATCTCCAAGTCAATGGCCTGTGGAGTCTTCAGTGCGAGTAAGTAGAGCATCAAGTCGTCATGCTCCTCCTCCAGCAACATGCGCTGCAACTGCGTCAATTCTGCAAGCGGTGCGCCGACGACGTGTGTCTGAGGCGCCGCCGACTCTCCACTTTTTCCCGAGGACGCCAACACAAGAAAGGTAGGACGTAGTTCTTGCGTTGTAGGGAGAAAGAAGGGAACGTCACGCTTCTTGGGTGGCAGGAGTGGCATGTTCTTTTCCTTAATCTGCTCCAGCAACGTGAGGTTAAACCACAAGGAACGGGACACACCGGCGAGCCGTAAGCCGCCGGAAACAATTCCATCGAGCTGCACCATTTGCTCGTGCTCCCGTTGGCGCCGTATAAGCGCGGTGTCCTTCGACGCATCAAACAGCTCTGCTTCTGCGTCTCCCCTCCCATCGGCCAGTTGTTGATGGCCGTTATGCTGCATCTCATCTTCCTTGCTTGCCTCCAGCGTGCCCCCTGCCTCTTCTTCGTCGTCGTCGCCATTGCAGGGCTGCGGCTCATCCTCCTGCAAGTCTGCCTCACCGTGTGCGGTGGGGAAGTGCAGGAGCGGCAGTTGCTCCACCATCCGCCCCTTCGGGTCCGTCACGACTTCCGGCACAAAGCCGTAACGCAAATTGTTCGACCACAAGAACGCGCCGCGTTCTCCCGCGTGGGTGGAGACCATGAAGAGTGCGTCTGGATGAAAGCTAAGCGAGTGGGCGGGGGAGGCAAGTCGGTACTGACCGACACAAGCAGCCGCTGCAAGGTCCCATACGAGTAGCGCGGCATCCCCAGAGGCGGACACAACATAACGGTGGGAGTCAGGCGTCAAAGCCAATGCCGTGATGGGTCCATTGTGTCCGTCAAACACTCGCACAGGGGTGGCGAGGGCATCATCACTGAGCCCCACATCAGGGTTACAGTGATAGACACGAATTGTGAAGTGCTGTGCCACAATAAAGAGCGATGAAGGCTGGTGAACGCAGGACTTATTCATCGGACAGTCCACCTTTACGGCGGACCTCAGACCACCGGTGAGAAGATCCCACAACTTGATCCGTGCATCCAGGCCCGCAGTGACAACGATACTATTGCCACAGGCTATTTCAACGCACTCCACAGAGCTAGTATGGGCACGATCATGGGGCTGAAGTGCAGCATCAAACAGCTGCTTCACACTCCTATTCTGGATGCTGATGATTGCCACGTTGCCGCTAGAATAACCGACAACGGCAAAGTTACCACAATCGCTCAAAGCGATGGAGCGTGCTGTATGCATAGAGGTTGTAATACCACTAAGTTTACACTCCAAGGCACGCGTGTCCATTCTCCAGCCACACATCTGTGCGGAGGCCTCATGTAGCGAGACAACACTTGACCATTGATAGTTTCTCGCGGTAGAGCTGGCCATGGCAATAGCCGGTGTCATTTTTAACGCCTCACGGCCCATCTGCTTTTCGCGACCGCGTCGACCCAGCTTACCCTGCGACAATTCCCAGGATGCGCGGTCGGAAAAGACGTGGGTCACGCGAAGTGCTCGATCTGTTCCAGCTGTAAGCAGCAGATCGGTGTTGTAAAAGAGAGCAGTGGTGCAACTACCCATGTGCCCACGACGCTCGCGTACCAGTGTCCCGAGGCCGTCAACGGTGTCGAACCTAAATTGCAGCAGCGCATTATCCGCCCCCGCCGTCACAATGGTGGCGCTGTCCGTAGGCAGGACCAAAATGGAATGCACAGCATTAGTGTGCGGGTTTTCCAACACTTCCGCCTCGGAACGCACCTGCTTACTGCGCGTGAGCACACCCTCGAGGCAGCGGTTCTCAAGATCCCACAGGGCGACTTCGCCCGCACTCGTGCCAGACACCAAGATACTTTTATCCATGCGAAACGCCAACGCAGTCACAGCACCTCGTTCCTTATGTTCAAAGCTCATAATCTCCTCACCTGTGCAGAGGTTAAGTACCACTACCCGGCCTCGGCTCGTGCCATAGGCGACGACGTCTTTATAGCTGCTGGCAGCAAGGGACAACATCTGTGCACCAGACGCGCGTTGCGCGTACCACAGGCAGACGCCAGTCTTAAAGTTATACAGATGCAACGACCCCTCGGCGGTGGCAACAAGCAACTTGTTGGTATACCCAGTCGGTACAACCACCGCACGCACCTCCTCACTGTGTTCAATAAGAAACTCGCCGAGAAGTTTCCCGGTCTTCACCCCACGCACGGCCACCCGCTTATCCTGTCCAATGCAAAACAGGAGATCATCGACGGCAAGAAGGTAATCCACTTTGCTCTGTGTAATGTCGTGATGCAGGCACGTCCAAAGTGGTTTGTGGTGCGTAAAGGCATGCACACGGGGACCTTCGGCAACGAAGCGGTACTTGCCTGCCTGCGCCACGGCCCGTACGCGGTTGAGAAAATGAGGTCCACCACGCAGCATGGACAACTCCTTCCCGCGGAACAGCTGGAAGGTGCGACCCGTGGCGACCATCAAGAGAGGGGCTCCATACAACGTCGTGCTGCTGATGGGCACCTCACCGCACACACTCCCCACGACGCGAAAGGGTGAGAAGGTCTCCATTATTTCCCTTCGTTGCCGTCGCTTGAACGCTCTCTCTCTCGCTCACCCTCTCTCTCTCTCTTTCTGCCACTTTGAGTGTGCGTGAATGAGCAGAGCAAGTCCCGGTTTCTCAGTCTTCCCTCCCCTCTTTGGAATCAGTGAGCCCCCGTGCCACTGGAACCCTTTTCTCGCCTCTTACCTATTCCCCCTCCGCGCTGGCGCTCCCTATTCTCGCTTGTGCTTAGCACGAACAGTGGCACCACGTGACGCACACGCAAAGAAGAAACAAAACAAAAAGGAGGCAAAAAAAGAGAGAGTGTGTTCCGCCGTGGGAGAGGAGGCCCAAAGAGAGCGCAAAAGAACAAAACCGAGTCCCCACACGCACACACACAGACACATGGCGAGCAACACATGCACGCCTACCACTAAAACCAATAACGCAGTACCGCCTTGCGTGCAGGCCAATAGTCCACCCTACATTCTTGTTGCTTTTCGTCCTTTCACATCAGCCCCAGTTTTTATTTTTATTTTTTTTTGCACTTGCTTGTTTTGTTTCACTTGTGCTTCTTTGCTGCTTCCTTCGCCTCCTTGCGTTATGTCCCTCACATATTCACAGGCATTCTCTCCTCCTCTCTTTCGGTTTGGGAACGTTCTGCCTGGGGTGAAGTCTCATGTGTCACAGGGCACCCACATGGAAACAAGAGAAGCGACGCCGGATAAACACATACAAAAAGGCAACAAAGGCAACGGCGGATACTTCTGCAGCCCAGCAGAGGAATAGGAAACAAAAGCGCCAACAAGGTTTCAAATCGAGTGAGTAGCAACAACGGTAAACAAAAAAAATAATAATAATAATATGGGAAAACAGACACTGAAAGATATATTATCTGTTCCCCCAAAAACGCAGAGAAGGTCCGCCTGAATGAGGCTTAGACCCCCCCCTCTCTCTCCCTACTCCTACAGAGAAAAAGGGCCACAACAAATGCAAAGATCGTAGTTGGATTTTATGAACCCCTCCCCAGTGCAGAATATATATATATATATATATATATGTATATATTCATCGCACACACACAAACTGACGCGCAAATGATTTCAAGGGAATTACACCCACGATGGGCGGGTTCGTTGGAAATTAAGCTCGCGGCAGTCTTTGCCGTTCCCCGCCATCCATCGAGCCCACCCCTCTGTGGGCTGTATTTGTCGCAGTCGTAGTAAAGGGTTAGGGGTGGGTGAGGGCATTTTATTGCCCTTGGCTGTGCCCAACGCGGTATCCTTGGAAAGCACAAAATCATTAAGGCGGATAAAGAAACAGAGGGTGGGTGGAGGTAAGGGGGATTTCATCACAACGCGCCGTCATACATTTGGTCCCAAACATTTGTGTCACCATTCCATGGGAGTCTACGCGAAGGACGAGGCATTCAAGAAAAAAAAACAATAAAAAAACAGTAAATACATAAAAAGAAATGCCTACCGGCCTATACCTATATAAACTGAAAAGCAGCTACAACAAAATTTCCACTTTTTTTCTTTCTTAAATAACTCTCTTTCTCTCCTCGTTCCCTTTAATAATACGCATTATTATCATTATTATATTATTTTTTTTTTTGCAGACACCGAAGAAACACATAAAATCGAGTTCTCTCCCCATTTTTTTATTTATTTTGGGCTCTGGCAAAAAGTTTATGGAACCGTAATTCGCTCAAATGAAGCTAGCACTCATTCTTCGCCACCGTGACAGCATTCTCGTTCCTTCTCTTCGCCTTCCTGTGTCATCACAGCAGCTGCAGCGGCCCACTGGCAGCAGCGGGGTTAGTTGCTACGGTAAGCCTTTGTCTGCTTGGGAGGTGGCGTCTTTCACTCCTATTCACTCTGTGCCTCCCAGGGGATACTACTCAGCGGATTGGCGACCTCCACCGCGTGTGCGAAGTAAACAACCTCATCAAAATGGAGCTTATGCTTTAGCCGGTTTCTGCCCGGTACCGTAAGCTCCTCCCGGGTGGGTATTTTGGACGAGCGTCGACAGCTAGCGGGGTCCTGACACCAGTCCCCGGCCTCCTGGACAACTTTCATGGCCCCAGTCTTGATAAAGGGGCAAATGATATCAGGCGAGGAGCACGCACTCTTGTCTAGTCCCTTGTCCAGGTAGTAGTTGGTCCACTGCCCTAGCGGCGGGGAGGCCTCCGAGTCCACGAAGGAGTCCACAACTGCAATCTCCACCCTTCCTGATCCCGAGTGGCTTATAAGATTCTGGACGTAGGAGAGCCCAATTTCAAGGAAAACGCGGCTCGAGTACCCAGGCGTGAGGAGCGTGAGTGGAGAGCTCTGCGGGATCACCAACTGTGTCTCTGAAATCCCATAGCTGTTTCCCCGAGGAATCGCTTCGTGTATCACCTTCTCTACCAAGATGGCATTATGTATTTGCTCCTCCGCCCGCGACTTGATGATGGTCTGGCTCACGAGGCGAAAACTCATTTTTGTCACGGATGCCAAACCCTTCGTATTTTCAATAATGCCACGGAATTTGATTGGGGTCCCGCGTTTGCCGATGACCTGACGAACTTGCAGAAACACATCCACAAACCCCCTCTTAAAGATGCTATGCATGGGTACTTCAAGGTGATACTCCAGAGGGGGAGTCTCATTGAAAATAGCTGCAAAAGGTTCGTTGGCATCTGCCTCTCCCTCCCGCTCTACCGAAGCCCGATGCCCACCCTCTGATTTCCCCTTACTATTTTTTTTCGCTCTGGAAGGCCCGTTCACCCCAGCACACTCAGCGTTTTCGCCCGCGTCGCTATACTTGTCGGATCCCACTACCGTCCATGTATCCACAAAAAGTCTTTGAGGCACCTCGGCCGAAATGTCTTCAGCCTCGTTTTCCAACTTCTGCTCACCGGTAGAAGAGTTGACAATGCCGTCCCCCAAATTCCCATTGTTGCATTCCGCATTGGAGTCTATCACATTGTTCAGCGAGAGGCTATGATCAATAAAAAACGCTTTGGTCGCTGCATAACTATTGCTCCCGTTCTGTTTCCCACCTGTGGCACTCGCGTCATCGATTGCGGCAGATGTTTGGGGCGGAACGTTTGAGTAGGAACTCAAAGTCCTGTGTGCGTGGATCCACTGCCTTGGGTTTACCGGAAGCACCTTGAGCCCAAAGTAAGTTTTATGCTTCGCCAACAATCGTCTTCCAGCAAGGAGCTTTACCCGCACAAGATACGAGAGCTGCGACACACCGCTGTTGCGTATATCAAGGTATGATGGGGGCAGTGAATATGGTAGCCGGACAGAGAAGGGGAAGTTGTACGTCCCCGGCATGAGTCCTCTTGTCATGATGGTTGTGGAACACGAGGCTTCCGTCAAACTACCCGTGTTGCTGCGCGAGCATTCGCTATATTCCCCGTCAGAAGCTAGGCGTGTCTCAGGGTTGGGGGGATCACCCGCTAGGATGATGTTCTGCCGGTAAAATGTCGTGCGACGTGCCTCCGTGTCGATCCGCTTAATCAGCTCCGCACCAAACCGCGTAACCTCCTCACCTGTAATACAAGCCTCGAGCGAAGTGTAGGAAAAAGGCTTTTCCACAACGACCTCAGCCACGGCGCGCAGCGTCTCCCCAGGCAGGTAGTTTAACCTCTCGAGGAACACCAGAAGTAACGATGCATTCCCTGTAGAACGAAAAAAGTCCATTAGTATTGTTATTATTATTCACTTTTACTCCCTTTTATCATTGATATATTACACTTCTGATTCCTTATTCGTCCTTTCCTTTTTTTTTTCTAGTCCAACTGATGATTCTTTTTTGGGCTTAAATCTTTTTTTGTTTTTGTTTTAACCGCCTGCAGACGTATGCTGCAACGGGGAGTTGGATTTATTTTAACCTCCAGCTGCGCAGGATCCAAGAGTAAGAGCAACGTGAAACGAGAGAGAAAGAGAGAAAGAAAGAAATAATAAAGGAAGGATGCAGCCTCTCCAGTTTTTGCCTCCTCTTTTGGATGCATTTATTGTGCCAACATGTGTGTGTGTGTGTGTGTGTGTGTGTGTGTACCCATGTATATAACTGGGCAGGGCAGCATTCATTATGTCTGCCGCAGCGTCCGCCGCTTCTTCAATGGGGGTGACATGGCGCTTTCCGCAGCAGTGGTCGGCGTTTCCATCGTTTCCCCTGCCAAAGAGGCGGTGGTTGCCGGGTCTTGGCTGGGCGTTTGCTGCTGCCGCTCTGCACTCTGCAGCGTCGCGGTGACGGATGGCGTGTTCTCAGCGGCGGCGGTGGCGAAACTACTGCCGAATCCACTGTGAGTTGACGTCCGTGTGTCCATTGCCGCCGAGATCGATGAGGAGGCCGTCGTCGGAGGCGCCCCGCCGCTCGGCCGCAGCGGCGTCGTGCCTTCTACAGAGACGCCAATGACCTGTTCTCTGCTTCGCTTCTTCTCTGCCGCCTGCTGGAGGACTTTTGCAAAGGACCTTCGCAGGTACTCCAGCTCGTTATTGACAATGTTGGTGAGTTTGATGCCAGGGATGTACACAGGGGAGCCCTCCGCCTCAAAGACGGACATGCTCCTCAGTAACTTCTGCCGCCGCATCGCCTTGACCTCCGCCACAAGGCGAATAACTTCAGCCACATGCGGCACATCCTCCGCGGCCGCGCTGTGCTCGCAGAGCTTCTTCACCACCTCAAAGAAGTAGAATGGCAGCGCCTCAAAGGTTGCCTCATTTTCCTTCTCCCTTTCCACCACATCGCGCAGGTACGGTATAGCCGTAAAGGGGGGTGGGTTAATCGTGCACGCGTCTGTTTGACGAATGTGCAGCGCGAGCCAAAGTGGCAATTCAACCGGGTAATTTGGGGCGAATGGGCCATAACGACCTCCAAACGCCGTCGACACGCGCGGCATCGTGAAACGCGGCACCATTGTCACTGTCACCTCCATCGCGGCGAAGGACGCAAAGTGATATGCAGTGAAGCTCCTCCCACCACCGCCACTGCTGCCTCCAACGCCGCCGGCGGCGGCGTCACTGTTGCCGTGGGTGGCACTGCCAGTAGCTGCGATGCCCGAATCCGCCGTGCTCATTTAACTAGCAGAGTCAAGAGTGTAGAGAACTCAGGACGAATCCTTGTGCCGTTGCTGCTGACTTGTTTGCCCTTTTCTATTTTAACTTCTTCTTTCTCCACCCTTTCCTCTCACCCTCCTCGAGGTCCCAAACGTCCAAATCTCCGTCAGCGAAGAATTGGATAAGGGCGGACGTACCTCTTTGGTCGCCTTGAGAAAAACAGAATAATAATAATAAAGAGGAAGACCAGTAAAAGCAGTACACCTACGTATTATGTAATAAGTAGGCATGTGCACTGGCACATTCGTAGCCATTGCCCCGGCTTCGTTAGGTTTTCCCCGGCACTGGGATTCAAATGCCTTGCCGAGAGTGGTGCATGCATGCATGCATGCAAATTTCCTTCTCCCCCTCAACCTGTTCCAATGGGAACACACCAACATACATTACAATGGACCGCTCCCACCTCGTGTAATGAATTTGGTAAATGAATGCCGAGGAGGACAGAGCGGACGTACAACGCGTTATTTTTTCCCTTTCCCCAAACCCCTGCCAACGCCAACCCAGAGGAGACCATAAATAATTCCCAGGCATGTTTTCCGCCTTTCTCGTGTCCATACGCATACATACATACACATCCTATACGCATGCGCGACAGACAGAGAGCCTAGGCCTTTGTTTACTACTAGCGGATGTGGTCATATAGATAGGACGCAAAGAGGTACCGCATCACGAGGGCAAAAACACAGCAGCAGACCTGCACCTTCACCACCGCATTGGTGAGGTCTCGTTCATGCATGTCTCCGCAAAGCCACAAGATGGCGTTCAGAAGAGTGTAATTCCCGCTGTTCTGCAGCACATCCAGCTTTTCGTTCCAGCACGGGACCCGGTGACGCGGACAGGGCACAATATGAAACAGCTGCGGAAGGGAAATAATAAAATTCACTATTTGCGGGATGAAAAAGAGAATAAGCGTTTTGCCGTGCTGCCCTGACACCCCCGCGACGGAAAGCACGGTTCCCGCAAAGTAGGTGTAGCTGTCGCCCACGAAGATGCGAGCAGGGTATTGGTTGTAACGCCACAACGCCGCACTGACACCCACAAACGGTGCCAGGAGTGAAATCGCCATTAGCTCATGTAGTGAACCGCCGCCTTCTGCCACCGGAGGGTGAGGCGTGGTGCCACTACGACCAGCAGACTCTCTCAATGACTCCCCCTCCAACCGCATCTGCAGAACGTTGTACACAATACACGTCACGGCGATGACGATGGATTGCGCCACCTCCACCCCATTCACGCCGGCAAGGATGTTAATGCTGTTCGTGCAGAAAATACACAGCAGGCTCAGGTAGAGCAGGTAAAACACGCCAAGGTACACACTAGAGCTGGAAAAGAATGACAGTAGTGGACGCGGAACAGCGACCGACACGCTTCCTTCATAGGTGAGCAGCAGCGGAAGGGTTCCAATGGCCGAGAGGAGAAGCTTGTGTCGCCAGCGAAGATCCAAAACGTCGTCGACAAAACCCAGCAACAACATCACAGTGATGGTTGTGACCGCCCCGTCCATCTTACGCATGTCGTGGCCAAACACCACCACCAACTCCACCACCAGCACACACAAATACACCGCACCGGCGAGAATGCCGAGGGACTCCGGCAAAAACAACCGCTTCTCCTCCTCCTCCAGTGAACTAAGAGGCTTCCCTGCAATCCTCTTGCGCTGCTGCGGCGTTGTCTTGCCGAAGTCCATGCCGCAAATACGACGTTCCAACATTTTACGACGCGCAGACTCCATGCAGTGCATTGAAACGGCGTAGGCAAGCACAGACGCGACTGTTATGACGCTGAGCTCAAAGCTATGTGTGCAGAGCGATGTGACGACATTGCACAAAGCGATGAAGATGGGATGGTGAGTGGTGCTCCTCATTACGGTGCTGTTCGATAAGTACTCAAAAACACCGGGCGAGGGAGAGATAAAACCTTGAACCGAAAAAAAAATAAAGGTGGGAAGTAAGTGAAAACAAGACGAAAAGGGAACAACCCTTCACAAAACATCACAGTGTTCGAAAAGACTACAAAGAAGAGAATTAAAGGACAATTTCGTCAAGCAGACAAATACCCACGCACAGAGAGAGAGAGAGAGAGAGAGGCACTCACAAAGACAGTCGTGCACCCACCCGACCAAAGTATTAT